CAGGTGACGACAGATCCATCGCCCCGGATTGCAGCAAATGCACCAGAAGAAGCTTGGATCTGCTGCACATCTCGCAGCTGATCCTGTACCGCACTGCTGTCGCCACCATAGTTGGCATTGCCCCAGGTGACGACAGATCCATCGCCCCGGATTGCAGCAAATGCACCAGAAGAAGCTTGGATCTGCTGCACACCTCGCAGCTGATCCTGCACCGCACTGCTGTTGCCGCCATGGTCGGCACTGCCCCAAGTGACCACAGATCCATCACCCAACAGGACGGCGAATGCAGTGAATTCGCCGCCTTGCCTGGTGGTTTTAATTTGGAACTGGTTCACATGTAGAGTGAGCACGTCTCCACTCCTCAACTTCGCTTCTGTGACCATTTGTGCTCCGTCCAGCACCTCTCCAGAAGAATTCACCAGCCGCCCCCTACTCCCCAGAGAACTGTAGGCGCGGCGCTTCAATGATTCAACAGATGCATCCGCCTCCACTTCCACAGAGGCACGCTTGCCACTCAGCAGGTGCACATCCACGGAAATCGACATGATGCTCGGAAGAGTGGTCGCTTGACGCAAAACCTGGGACTACAGCTTCCTGGATCACGCAATAGAGGGGCCTAAACAATTAGAACAGGATTTTGGCGGGGCATATCATAGTGTACGTGTAATGAGGAACCCTGAGAATTCCTGATAGCTATTCAAGCCCATATGTCATGTGTACTTCTGAGTACAATCCCACGCTCTGGGCACTAAGCCCTACCTGAACCCTAAACCCAGTGCTTGAGCCCCAAACTGTTAAAGAGTTGAAGGAACTATGTTGGCAAGAAGCTTCTATGCTTCTATATTCTAGAACTATATAGTAAATAACAAAGCCAAATCAGGCTTGCCCCTGACGGCCCTAACGGACAGAGTTGCAAATTGCAGGTCCTAGCTTCTGGGTTAAGGGTTTAGGGCTGAGGGATTAGAGGCTTTCAGGCAGGGCATCAGTGTATTTATACAGGGTTTCCGACTTTCCAGTACCACGCAGTGTTTGGTGCAGGGTTGGGGGTTTAGCCTGAATCCTAAATCGTTCACACGTGATCGGTCCGGCTCATGGCTTTGTTATAAGGCCATTGGAAAAAGGGCACTCTGAACACAAGCCTTGCAACCTACAGACTTAGCTTTCCGGTGGAGGTTGCAACAGGCTTAAAACCCTAAGCCTCAGGACCCTAAACCTTAACCTCGAAGCCTTCAGCCCCACACCCTGAAATCAACATCCTACAGCTTGCATTGATTTGCTTTTGTGGTTCTGGTCGCCGACTCAACGCCCGATCTCGAGCCCGAAGCCGAGTGCTGAGCCGGTCAAGCCTTAAGCAGGAAGGCTTACACTCGTAAATGCTCCACCCGAAAACGTCATTCTGGCTCAGGCCTTAAAGCCTACACTCAAGCTTAGCGCTTGGGGAAGGATCGAAGCTCTTCCCTAATCGGAAACCCTAGCTTCCTGTGCACCAGAGCAAAAACCCCTAAACCCTAAACCCTAAAACCCTAAAACCCTAAAACCCTAAACCCTAAACCCTGGTCCAGGATCTGGGGCCGGTAATGCACCTAAGCCAAGGCTAAAGCACGAGCCCTAAGGCCTATAATAATAATAATAATACTAATAACAATAACAATAATAACAATAATAATAAATACTTGTAAACCGTAAACCAACCTGATCCAATGTAAAACTCCATAGAATGAAGCCCAGTTGCCTGTCAAATGCTTCTGCTCAACTCGTGTGTGTTACTCACAGAACAACAGACATGCACTAGCGATCCTGTCGTACAAAACTCTAACGGTTTTGGGTTTAGGATTTATGGCTGATATGCCCACTTTACGGGGTGCGCTCAGCAAGAGAAAGCCAAACACCCGTGAGAGCGGCAAAAACATGCAAGCAAACATGAAGATAGGCATATCTCACGTAAAGAAGTTCGGGGAATGCTGGTACTAAGTATTCCAACCCCTATGACAGAGTTTAGGCTTCCAGCACTTGGGAGTCATATAGTTCGGGGCGCAGGATGTAGGGTCAAGGTTTAGGGCCTATATAGGCTTAGGTTTCAGGGCCTAGGTTTCGAGTTTATTGTTTATAAGGTTTATAGGCTTCGGTTTGAAGGCCTAGGTTTCGAGTTTAGTGTTTACAAGGTTTAGGGTTGCGGCGAAGCTCCCGGAGACTAATTGGAGGGGCAAAACGTTTGTAATAAGATGTGCTGCACGCGTTCCGTTTTTCTGCGATACTGTTCCTTGACTCTGTAGAACCTCCTAATTACTTGATTACTACGTCAAATGATCCCGCTAAACACAGTCTCACCCTGGCAATCACCCCAAACCCCTCACCCCTGGACCCGTAAAGCCTAAGCCCAACCCTGTCTTAAATGAAACTCTAAGTTCCCTTAACCTTGAACCCTAAAACCCCTGAACTCTTGCCCCTCGAACCTGTGAAGCTAAGCTTGGCGTCGTCATTGAGAGTGTCGATGGCGAAGCGAAGCGATCCCACTTTTGGTCCCGTCGATTGGCTAAAAGCTGCGGCACCTGGAAAGGTCGTTTGACAAAGAACCCAGGCCGCGAAACCTGGTTGTTTCTTGCGTTCATCTGGGATTATTTCCTAGGGGCCCCACCTGTCCCAGTCTTAGTATACGCCCATCATAAACGCAGCTTCAACTGAACCATGCTCCACATGAAAAAATCAGATTGAAGCCCACATTTGACTGTCAGAGAGACTACACTTTCAGGGTTTTAGGTTTAGGGTTTAGGGGTTTAGGGTTCGTTAAAAAGAAAAATGCCAAAGAAGGGGTCTCCGAGAATGAAGCCCGATGACAAGACTCAGTGTCCAGTATCTTCAGGGGAATTAAAGGTTAACCTTTGGGGTTGGGTAGCGGGTGTCGCGGGTAGCGGGTGTCGCAAAGCTACTGGCCCCAAAACGGCTACTGTACTACTACGTCAGGACATTCACACGAAAGACCCTCAGCCCTGAGCGGTAAACACCAACAACCCAGAAACCACAAAACTCTAAAGCCACGAAGCACCCTAAACCCAAAACCCTAAAAACCCCTAAACTGCCGTGACGCTGAACGTTTGCATGGTCGCTCGAGGCTCCGACCGAGACCCCCGGCCGAGCGTCTCGACAGGACGGCGAGGGAGGGCAAAGCAGGTCGGATTTACTCCTTATTAGGGTTCTCGTCTTCGGCAAAACGTTCCTGCTGGATTGAGTCCCTAGGGGTTCTCGTCTTGGGCAAAACGTTCCTGCTGGATTCGCTTACCGGCGGTCGAGGTGCAAGTTGCAACTCACGGCTGCACCAAACCCAACCTTAAAACAAAGGCAAACACTCTTTTGGCCTGCAAGGCACTGCTGTCAGCAGGAAAACTTGCTACCTGAAACTTTGTTCAAAAGATCCTGTCGTTTTTGCAAGGCCTAAAGTCAAAGCCAGACTGCACAAGTTTGGTTCTCAAGAACAAGCAAGTTTCCAACAATAGCGGCGCAATGGCTCTACACTACTGCACTTCTTGGGGGAGCATTATTATGACAGTACCTGCCTGGAAACGCACAGCTCCTGCTGGAATCTTTCTTTGAGAACGGGGAGAACGGAGCCTTTGCTGTCGCGCGGATTGCGTGTCGCCATATCTTCCTGGCCCGAGGACAATGCAACATTTCAACCCAAGAGCAGCTAACCCCGAAGGATTATAACAGTACCTGCCTGGCAAACGTGCTGCAGCTCCTGCTCGAATCAACCGTTGAGAACGGACAGCTCTTGCTCAAATCTTTCGAACATCGCATGCAGCGAGACGAGCAAGTGGTTCTGCCATCTGGCTTCTGCCCTCATTGTGTCGAGGCTTCGCTGAAAGTGCACTTCCAATCGAAAGCGCTTGTCAGCAAAGTGGTTCCATGGAAATGCTGTCGTTGGATCCTGCGGGGCTCCTGCGCGGCAAATCCACGCAAGGCCTGCCCACATATTTTCCAGCGGCAAGTGCGCACACTCTGCGGCCAAGTGGTAGGGAGGGTTGTGCTCGCTTTCCGTTGTCGCAGTGGCCCACGCCAAGCCCTTTGCTGCATTGCAAGAAACCTGCCACCTGTCCCGGACTGCCTGCTCCCGGAACATGGACGCTGGAATCATCGTCGGGCTCGTGGAAGGCATGGCACTTGTCTCTACCTCGCTGGCGGAGGGCAACCACTAAGCCACGAAGCGACTGCCGAGGACACAAACATGTGCCTGTCTCAACTCGGACAGCTACCCAAAACTTATCGCGATTTAGGCTCTGTCTTCGCCTCCGCCCACACTTCCGAGACTGAGTCGAATAAACAATAGAGAACTTAGCTGACTTAGCTCTCGTCTTGGAAAAACATGAACCACGACCAAAGAACACGTGCAATGGCGAGACTCACTTCTCTCAATCGTTCCAATTTTGTCGGATGACTCATTGGAACTGCTGCAGGGTTTAAAGTTTCAGTTTAGGGTTTAGGGTTCAAGGCTTCTGCAGCGCCCCTTTTGCCCTGCGCCGCGATGAGTTATCGGTCAACCAGGAAGAGCAGAAGGCATCGCTGGTAGAAGGGATAACCGCACGACCGTGTCGGGAATGGCGGAATGGAACCGCGACCTTTGCCCTTGCCTGCCGCCTTGCCCCTTGCCACCTCTGCCCTGCAGGGAGGAAAGGTTTCGAGTTTCGGGTCGGCATTGCCCGCGCCCTGAACATGCAGCCACGTGGAACAAACCGCCTGCGGTCAAGTAGTGCCTGGATGCTCCAAGTAGTGTGGCTGCTTAGTTTGTTTGGAGGGTGGGGCTTTCGGCGATAAAGCCGGCGTGCATGGGAACTCTGGAAATGGGCTCAAGCTGGATGGAACACAAGAGGAAGTTGCACGACTGATCGGCATGCGGGAGCCGCGAACATGCCGCAACGTGGCGTGAAGTCAGCTGCTTTGACATGTGCATCTCCGTCGTCCTCATGAACTGAAGAAGCTTCCAAGTGTGCCGAAAAGCACCGACACTGGCATGCTGTATGCTCTCTGGTGGCATCTGGCCGCTCCGACAAATACTCTAGTTGTGCTGGGAGTCTAGAGTCTAAAGTGTCTGAATCTATAGTATATAAGCTAGAATCATGTAGAGATCTGGCATATGTACTATACTTGTCTATATAATAGCTCCTAACTAAAGAACTAACTACCCGAAAAAAGGAAAGGGGTATGAGCCTCTATCGTGTAGGACTCTGCACCCTAAAAACTTCAACTTTTAAGTGCAAAAACCATAAAGCCCTGAAGTCATCCTGAACTTTGCGGGTGCCGAAAGTTCAGACGCAGGGTTCCTGAAACCTGCACCGGGCAGGGGCAGGGGCAGGGCAGGGGCAGGCAGGGGCAGGGGCGGGGCAGGGAGGGGCAGGGGCAGGGGCAGGGGCAGGGGCAGGGGCAGGGGCAGGGGCAGGGGCAGGGGCAGGGCAGGGCAGGGCCAGGCTCTGGCCCTGCCCTGCCCTGCCC